TCTGAATCCCCATGCTGTCCTATGAGGCTGGCACTATTATCATCCCCATTTTACAAATGAGGAAACTGAGGCAGAGAAGGGTTAAGCAGTTTGCCAGGGTGGTCAGGCCCCAGGCCGCCTGGCTCCAGAGTCTAGATGCTTGCCCCCGTGTGGTGCAGCGCTCCCTTCTCCAAGCTTCAGCTTTCTCCACTGCAAAGTAAATCAAAGACTCAAAGAAACGATTTCTGGATCCCTCTGAGCTCTTACAGGTACAGAATCTGGAAACTGCTTCCCTCCGGCAGGTCTCCAGTCTATTCTTTACGCCCTCTCCCAAAAATGACTGCTCTCAGGAAAAGTTCCTTTTTTTTTTTGAGACGAATTCTCACTCTGTCACCTAGGCTGGAGTGCAGTGGTGCGATCTCGGCTCACTGCAACCTCCTCCTCCCAGGCTTAAGCAATTCTCCTGCCTCAGCCTCCGGAGGAGCTGGGATTACAACTGCCTGTCACCACGCCCAGCTAACTTTTGTTTTCTTAGTAGAGATGGGATTTCACCATGTTGTCCAGGCTGGTCTCGAACTCCTAATGTCAGGTAATCCATCCGCCTGGGCCTTCCAAAGTGCTGGGAGCCATTGTGCCCAGGTCTTACGGGCTCATTCACACTATGGTGTAAATAACTGACATGGTAAGTGGAGGTGAGGTAACTAGTGGCTCAGGAATTAAAGTCCAGGCCTGACTTTCTCCAGAACCTGGGCTGGGCCCACAACAGTGCATTGTACAAGCTACAACCACTGGGCTTAGGAGCCCACCAAAAGGTATTCTTCACACCCATCAGCACCCCCTGTCCTGAAAGAATGGAACAAATTTCAGATGAAAGAAGGGGTGGGAGCAGGGAAGTCAGGGATAGAAGCTGTCAGACCTATGAATTCCCAGAGTCAGGCCTTCTGGTCCCCAACAAAGACCTATTCAAGTCCTACTTCCGACTCAACTGATTTGAGCAGGCAGTTTCCCAAGAGTCAGACCTGGGGAGGGAGCTTGGCTTTCAGCCCTTCCCTGTCATTTTATCAGGGCTCAGCGTCCACATCTGCAGAGCGGAGAGGTTGGCCCCTTCCAGCTCTGCCACTTGTGAGTTTTGCTCCCAGCCTGGCCCCCACTGCACCCCATTAGCATTCTCCATGCAGAAAATCACCCGGTGCCCCCAAACCCTCAGGGCTCCCCTCTGAGCCAAGCACCAGAAGTCCACCTCTTGCAGGAAGGAAAGCTGTCATCACAGCCTCTGGTACCAGGTTCCCAGCAGGCCACATTAACCCATCATCAGGGGAGCAGGGCAGGGGATGCAGTGGTGTCCTCTTAAATGGACACCTGGCGGTGGGTGCAGGGCTCCTCCCCAAAGGTATCCTTCCCTCACCCTCTCCTTCCAGAGGCTCCTGCTCCCAACCTCCCTCCCCAAAGTTCAATCTTTTTGCTTCTGTAAGTGGCTTTTAAGTTTCTCACCCAGCCTCTTGTTTCTATCAGTTTAATTATTGAGGAGGCCTCTTGTCGCCAGCCTGGAACATTAACGATGTTAAAAGGGACCCAGGGAATGCAGGCCACAGCCAGCTGGCTCCCTCTCTCCGCCCCTCCCTTCCCTCACCCAGCTTTAACACTCTCTCCCGCTTTCTGCTCCACTCTCCAGGTCTCTACCTCCAGGTCCTGCCACGCTGTCTGTATAGCCTGGGGGGCTCCTAACCCTGGCCCCAACTACTCCATCCTATGTTCTGAGGAGGCACAGGCCAAACTGAGACCACACCATGCTCCTCTGTGGCAAGACAAACAAAGGACACCATGAACCCCTAGGATAGGAAGGCTCTTCACCCCAGGCACCTCACCCCACCTGGCCCTTCCCCTTCCTGGGAGAGGTTAGCACAGCAGTTGCAGCCCACTCTCCCGTCTGGGCACTGAGCATCTCATCTCAGAATATTTATGTTCCCAAGAACATACTCTAATACCTAACGCTGAGTGACCATCCCTTGGGCCTTCACCATATGCCAAGTGACGGGAACTCAGCTCCTCTCAGTCTCTCCACCTCCCTGTAAAGTAGGCACACACTCCCCTCTGGAAAACGGGAGAGGGGACACTCACCAATGTCACAGTTTCAAGGACTGGACCAGGCTGTTTTACCATCTTTCTAAAAGACCCAGAGTCACTAGAGGAGTTTAATTACAATCTCAGATAAAGAGAATGCAGCAGCCTCACTCGTGGGGTGGCCTTCCGGAGGCTGGGGTCTGTGCCCCACTCTGCCAGGCTGACAAGGAGGAGTCCAGGGCTTGTCCCTTCTGCTGGACGGCCCAGGCTGCCTCAGCTCCCAGGCCAGGGCCAGGCGGATTGAAGTGATGACTCATCTGGCTTGAGCCATCACTAGGCCCCGGCCTGGGACAGCCCAGCCAGCTCTGCCTCTCCTCTGGTCTCCAGTCCCCACTGCAAAACTGGGTGCGGTGGAAGGGCTGAGCCAGGCTACCCATTCCTGAACCCTCCTGCCAGGGAACTCTGAAAGCTGGTCAGAGCGACACAGCCCCCGGGGATTGCTCCAATTGCCTAACGCAAGGGCAGAAATTTCTTCAAGTTCCCTGCTTCATCTCCAAACTATGTACAACCAGGTTAAACCACTGATATTTTAAAAAAAAAAAAAAATTTAAACCACATACAACTTTTGCACTCTTCATAATGCATCCATTTGTTTTAAAATTAAAATTATACTTTCATCCAAATCATCAAGTAAAACCAACACTCCAGGAAAAGCCTCATATTCAAGGCCCACAGAGCACACTAGAGACAGGGCTATATACACAGGAGGGGGCACACGTGCTCTTCAGCCCCAGAGCAGCCAACAGCAAAAGTCCTGCCCCACCCAGACATGTGACAGCACAACTCTGCCTCCTCCCTTTGTCACCCCCCCCCAGCTTCCTCACCCCAACCCCAACACTGGGACCGTCCTCTCCCTTCATCCCCACTTCTATGCGGGCCCCTAGACAGGCCCCCAAGTCCTGTTGCATCATGGGATGGGGGCTAATGGCTTCCAGAAATCGTCCTAGTGAGAGGGGTCCAGCCTCAGCTCTCCCCACCATGCCTCGTGCAAAACAGCCTCTCCGTCCACTCCCTACCCCTGGAGACTTTGAGGAGACAAAGATCAACTCCAGAGGCCAAGAATCTGACACCAGGGTGAGGGAGGAACCAAGCAGCTTCCTCAGTGTCCCTTCCTCTTCCTCTCCCCATTCTCTCCTTCACTCCCTACACACACAAACATGCACAAACACACACATGCACATGCACACACAGAGCAAACAAGGCAGGCTCCAAGAGAGAAGCGGGCACATAATTATTGGTAAAATGCTTGTAATGTTTTTCTCTCTACCCGGTAGCTTTCAGTTGTTTTAGCAGCTTAGCAAAGCACTTGGCTCCAATTGAATTGCAAATCAGCAGCTCTTGCCCCAGGAAGAGAGGAAAGGAGGCGGCGAGGAGGGGGTTGGGAGGGATTCCAGAAGGAAAGGGAGAAAGGTGTGCAGGGAAGAAGGGCAGAAGGAAGGAAATCAGAGGAAAGCTTGGTTCAGGGCCCAGGGCACCAGAAACAGAGACCGCCTACTCCAGCAGGCCTCAGTTTTCTTATCCTCATCTGCATTCTCCGCAGGCTCAGCAGCCCCACACCCCATCAAAAATGAGGACACTTTCTCCAACCTCAGGTGGGGCAAGAGGGCCACAAGGGGCTTCCTCAACTACCCAGAAGAAAAACATATCGTTTTGGGGAATTGCAATTATTTGAAAACAACGTCAAAACAAGTCTCATCTCCCTGGGAACCTCCAGCATTCATCTTTCCATTCTTCTTACCTGTCTGTCTGCCTTTCTGTCTATCCACCTGCCTATCTTTTTATCTGTCTGCCTATCTCCTCCTCCCTTCTGTCGTTCTCCAGAACATCCTTTTCCCTCCTGGTGCAGGATTCCCCGGAGAGGGGTTGCTCACTGAGCCTCCAGCGGCAGGTGCTCTTTCAGCACCTCGGTCAGCGCCACACGGCTGGGTCCCTCCCTGATGCCTTTCACTCTGCTGTGCCTACGCCAGGACCACAGAACAACATACTGAAACCAGGAAGGGCTGCCCCAAATTCTCAGACACTGCTCTGAGGAAAAGACTGTCCCCTGGAGCGAGGAAAACAGGAGGATAAAAGGGCTGGTCAGCCAGCCATCCTGGGGTGTGGTGGGCAGAGGCCATTGGGGGAAGAGCACCTGGGGGACCAACCAAGGCACTGACCTTGAAGAGGCGAAGGATGTTGGCCACCATGATGGAGACTGAGCTCCCTGAAGCACCGATGACACCCACCACGCGTTCAGGCTTGGTGATGATGGGTGGGCCGCCACTGCCACAGCGGACCTCCGTACCATCCTTCTCGATGAGCGCCTGCACAAAGGTCAGTGACTGCTCAAGGGCATGGGTGTCCCTGGAGCAGGTGTCCAGAATGCGGGCGCCCAGTGTGATGTTGGGCAGCAGGTCCGGGTCGTTGTTGATGCGGTCCAGGGCGAAGAGCATGGCCTCCAGCCTGTGGATGCCCTTTTCCTTCTTAAGTTCTCCACAGGCCTTGCCCTCTGAGCCCCGGCCATGCACCGGGAACAGGCCTCCCAGTGTGATGTCCCCATCTATGCGGATGGAATTCATGTGAGGATGGCCTTTGGGCTTCCCCAGGGAGGAAGGCATCCAGGGGCCGTAAAGGCTGAGGAGCAGGCAAAGGGGCAGCCGAGCCCACCACCAGCCCAAGCCTCTCTTCCCAGGCATCTCGGAAATCCCTAAAGACCCATGAACGGCAGGCCCACTCCTAGCCCTGGCAGGTCCCTGGCCCCACGGCCTGGGTGAGCATGGGCAGAGCAGCTTCAACAGCAAGGGGACTGAGGGCAGCCAACTGCGTGACCCATGCTGCTGCCCTCTCCCACCTCCTCCTTGTCACTCGGGTAAAGCGCAGTTGCCCGCACGGTCCAGGCCCACAGACGGCAGACAGTGGCCGGGGTTGCAGGGAGGCTCTGATCCTCGTCCCGTCCTGCAGGCCTGTTCTCGGGGGATGACTGTGGAAAGGGCAGAGTGCTCCTAGCTTGGCGTATCTTGGCATCAAGGAGAAAACAGTTCCAATCCTCTCCTCTTACCAACCTTAGAAGGGGAAGAGAGAGAGAGAGACAGTATCAAACAGAAGCCCAAAGAAGACATTAGCTAGTCTCATCTCTCATCAGGAGCCTGAGAGAAGGAGATGCTGGAGGTTATCACCAAAGACTCCATAAATCTCCTGAACGTGGTTTCTTCTCTGCCGTTGCTCAACTCTGGCTTAAATGGGAGTGTGTAAGGGAGAAATTAGGTCATGTTTGAAGCTTCCTAAGGCCTTTACCCACTGCCATCAGTAGCCAGAGTATCAGAGAGCACACTCCCCAGGAACAGCCTGGAACTGGCTTGGGAGGAGCAGGGGCCTTCCTCTACATACCCACATGAAGGAGAGCAACAAACAGGTCCCATGGGCCCAATCCCATCACAGAGGTGAGGAAACTGAGGCTCAGAGAAGGAGAGCATTTTGCCTGAGTCACACAGGGAGTGTGCAATTTAATTACAAGCTGAGAAAAGCTTGGACAATGCCTACTGCAGCCCAGCTTCCCTGCTCTCAGCTCTGGAACCTGAGACACTTTGGCTCTTCAGGGACTCAGAGACCCAGAAACGCAAGTAAGGCCCCCTCAAGAAGAAATCATGCTGGAAGGTGGTGGTGCAGGCTGGAGCTGCTCACTCTGAAGGCCAAGGGAAGGCCAGGGAGGAGCTGAGGCTGTGGGGGTTCTGGATTTTCATCCTGAATCAGGGAGTGCAAAGTGGACCCTGAACTCTCTGGCTTCCACCCCAGCCGCACAGCTACAGCAGGCAGAGAGGGTAAACCCGCAGCCCCTGCACCGGAGCAAGCCTCCGTTCAGCTTGCACGTCCTCCCTCCTCCCTCTCCTGACTTTCTTCATCTCTCCATTTCTCCACTGCCCTTTCTCCCCACCCCCACTTCCTCCCTCTGAGAGCGGGGCTCGGGTTACAGCCTGAGCTACTGCACATTATTAAGATCATCATCATTATTATTGTTGTTGCGATTAAATATTTATCTGCAAGGGTAGAGCAAAGAACACCAGCCCTTCCTCATTCTCACTGCTAATTTGGGCTAATTTCCCCCGGGGGTTCCTTCCCTCACCCCAGCCTCCCCACTCAAAGCCAGCAACCTCCCTCCCCACCACTTAGGAGGCCACAGGGAGAAGGGATGGAAGCTAAGTCAGGGCTTTCTTGGCTGGGGTCAAACCCAAGAACCCCTTCCCCAGGGGTTTGTCAAAGGAAAACCAAGAAGCCACTTGTCCATCTGTGCCTCGGTTTCCCCAAGCAGTGGAAAGAGGAGCTTATGATGGGATCAAGAGGCTTCCCCAAAGATGTGGTCCCTCCATCCAGACCAAGGAGTGGTCTCAGGGCCATCCCTCCCCACCTATCATTCCCCCAACAGAGGCCCTGACTGCACCAGTCTGGGCCAAGGGGAGGGAAGGAAGCTCCAGAGCCCCAGAGTGCAGCCTCAGCTCCTGAGCTTCTCCGGCCTTCCAGACCCTCATTTCACATTTCACCCCTTCTTCAAAATGCTCCCTTCACATTACCTCCTCAGAAACCGAGAATATGGCTACTAATTCTCCTTGGCCCCATGCTGCAGGTGAACCGGTTGCCCAGAGACATCACATAATTCCCAAAGTCACACAGCCAGTCAAGATGCGTCCAAGACAAGAAGCCGTATCAGCCAACACTGGGGAAGCCCCAGCAAAGCTCACAGAAAGTTTCTCAATACTATCTTCTCCCCCAGAGCCAGGAGCCAGGGACCTAGGACTGGGAGCCAATGCCAGTGCTTTGGGAAAGGCTTAAGAGCCATTAAAATACAAGGGTCGGGGGTTGCACCTGTATGGAGCTGTCCATCACTGACACCCTCCTGTGAATAAGTTTACCAGATCTCTGTCCTAGATGGCTGTGGAGAGGACAGGAAGTCAGGTATGATTTGCCAATGCCAGTACCAGGAAATTCAGAAGACAGAAACTAGAAGAGCCACAGCCGAATCACACTTCTGCTACAGTGGCTGGAGGTAAGGTGCATCCCTCCTAGTCCTCAGGAAAATCCAAAAAATGGGTGGGTTGGAGTGAAATCCAATCTGGGGGCGATACTGCCCCTGCTGACATATTTTCAGTTATTGCAATGATGGCAGAGAGTCAGCTACCTGCCTGTGCTCAGGTGGGGGGCAGAAATGCTGACTGGCCAGCTGTGGGTGGGAGAGCCTGTGAGGTGAAACACCATCCTGTCCAAATGCCGACAGTGCCCCGTGGAGAAATCACAGCAAATGACAGCCACTGCCATGTGCCAAGCACTGTTCTAAGTGCTTTACCTACATTTTCTCATGTAATCCTCACATCCCTATGCCACATGGTATTTTTATCCCTTTCTCACAGATGAGGAAGCCAAGGCACCAAGTGCTTAAGCGACATCTAGCCAGGGGCACAGAGCTTGTGCAAGCTGCCCATGCCCCTGGCTGCTCCTCTGTGCTGGCCCAAAGGATCTCACAGGCCTTGCCAATTCCAGCATCCTGTGAGTGTATGACCAGTTTCCATGAATTTCAAACGGAGGGATTTTTGGCATCATGACAGGCCGTGTGCCGGGGCTACAGCAGGGCAGATCCAGGCTGGCAGATCAATGCAAAGCAGCTTTTGACAGTCAGGCCCTGCTCAGGCTTCCAGATCCTTTGTGAGGGCTCACACTGGCTTCTCCTTGAAGCTGGAGGCTGGAGCATGTCTGGGCTGAGCAGTGCACGCATACACACGCATGTGCATGCACACATACACACATACGCATGGGCATGCGCGCGTACACACACACACACACACACACACACACACACACACACACACGGAAGGACAGAGGCCATGGGGGAAGGAGGCCTCCAAGAGGAGAAAGGCAAACACCCACAGATTAGAATCAAGAGCCTGGAGCCCCAAGCTGATCAGATCCCCTGTGAGACCTCCCTCCCACAGCACAGGGTCCCAGCCCCTGCCCACAGGTCCCTGTCCAGCCCTCAGTCCCACCCAGCCTGCCTTTTCTGAGCTTCTCCAGAGGGCTGGGCAAGCCACTGCTGCTTTTAGCTTCCCCTCCCTCCTTTGATCATGTAACAGGAACAAGGGAAAAGTAAAAATACCCCATGAGTGAAAGAAGCTACTGAGAGCAGAGGCCGGGCAGGGTGGGGTGGGGCCAGGCGGATGCTCCCTTCCCCCGCAGGGCCTGCTTCCTTATGCAGAGCAGGGAGCTGGGGGCACAAAGAAGGGGTCCTTCTTTAAAGTCCTTTCCCCAGTTTTCAGACACTCCCCCGCCAATTCCAAAATAGCCAGGAGAGCTCAAGCCTGGGTCAGTTTGGGGCATCCTTCCAAATGGTAAAATGGCCGGATGACTGTGAGCCCAAGTCAGTGTGGGCCCCACCCCCAGGCAGGCCTCTTTTCCCTCTTTCTTCCCCAGCACCCTCTCCCAGTCTCTCTCCTCTTCTTTGGCTCCACAGGTTCCTTGGCTCCAGGGGAGGACAGATCCAGGCATGAAGGGATGAGAGCCCTGAAGGGGCAGGGATGACAGTGACTCCGTCACCTCTACACAGCAATAGCTCACAGGCCAAGTGTTTTCCAGAGCATTCTTTCCAGTGAATGAGTATTCGAGGGGAGCTGGTGGGGGATAGCTGCAGGCTACCCCTTTTCCCCGCCAACATTAGGGTAAGGGGGCTGGGAGAGTCCCCATGCATCCCAGCTGGGGCCTCTCTGATATCAAGGGCCTTCATGGAAAGACTCCACGCACCTGCCTCGTGACCACTTTTAAGTCTTTTTTTTAATTCTTCTTCCTCTTTTTTGAGACAGGGTCTCACTCTGTCGCCTAGGCGGAGTGCAGTGGTGCAATCATGGCTCACTGCAGCCTCAACCTCTCAGGCTCAAGCCATCCTTCCACCTCAGCCTCCTGAATAACTGGGACTACAGGCATGTGCCACGACACCAGGCTAGTTATTAGTATTTTTGCACAGATGACATCTCACTATGTTGCCCAGGCTGGTCTCAAACACCTGAGCTCAAGCAATCCTCCAGCCTCGGCCTCCCAAAGTACTGGGATTACAGGTGTCAGCCACTTTGCCTGGCCCACTTCTTAGTATAATATTAACAAGCAGGACCTTTGTGCTTTTCCAACTTCAATCCTTCCCTCGGCATCCAGGGCTCAAGTCAGAAAGAACCACAAACCACAAAACAACCACCAAATCCGAAGAGAACTACTGGGATTCACCACACCCCCAATTATTTTTCACTGAGCTTTTATTCTCCTAACACTAAGAAAATGGAACAAAACCCAAACACCACAATAAAAGGCAAATAGAGGGAACAACTTTGTCTTTTGTTCCCCAGGGTCAGGGTCATTGCCAGAGTCCCTGGCTCCTTCCTGCTGTTGGCCCTCTGAGGGTCAGCTCCCACAGGAGGGGGTTTGTGGACTCAGGCCAGAGCCCCTAGGGGTTCAGCAAGAAAAGCCAGGCCAAGAGCTCCCTCCCACATTCCTCTCAGCTCCCAACTTTCTCCATGTTCCCACCTGCACTCCCTTCGTCTCCATTCACCTTTGCCTCCACAGGGCAGACGCAGCCCAGGTGCTCAGGAGTGCTGAGAATTGTGAATGGCTATGTGTGGTCTGGTTTGAATTCCTGAGCTGTTTAGAGGCCTCATCGCCCACACCCTGCATCTCCCAGAAGGGGGATGGCAGCACCACCACCCCAAAGGGGAAGTGAGGGAGAACTGGAGGCCTCTCACCTCCCCTCACCTCTATGAACCCTCTGCCATCCCTCTGGGCCCCCACTGGCTGGGCAGAGGTGTGGTTTGTAGGACAGGGCCAAGACCCAGGAATCGGGTCGTCAAAACTGTGCCAGCCCTACCAGCTGTACCTGTATGACTCCCAGGCCATGGGGAAGGGGATGGCCAGTTAGCCCTTCAAATCCTATCACAGCACTCCTCATGTTGACCTCTGCAGCCCAGCCTTGCACAGAGCCTGGCAGCCCAGCAGCCTTCGTGGAAGTGAATGAGTTACATGATGCGAGCCAAATGATTCC